GTGTGTGTGTGTTTCCACTAGAAAAATAGTCGACCAGTTTAGATCTGAAAGATAAATTTTACAAGCAGCCTTTCTAATAATAATGTTCAATTTCACGGGATAAAATATTATTATTATTATTATTATTATTAATAATAATAATAATAATAATAAATAAAATGTTCACTTAAAACCACACCCACCTTTCGTCCTGAAGAGAGGATGTAATTTCCGGGAAACAATGAATCAACCGATCAAACAAACAAAATGTCGTCTTTATTTAACCATAAGTGAGAGAATTGTTGTGAATAACATCCAATTGAAATGTGACACGATTAAGCAAACTTCTGGTCAAAAAATTACGCCTGTATCCGATTACGAGGCTCATGGGACTTTTTTTCTTTCCAAATTGTTTACACCAGTAAGAATTTATTTATATGGAACAATCTATCGGTCTTTGACTATCTAAATATGGTATCTCTACATCTGAATTCTTTTTTTTATTTTGTCAGGAATATATCATTCGGGACGTAATTTTCAAGCCTTGAAGAAGACCTCCGAATACAAAATTCTGCAGAAGACAACAGGAATTCAATCCATTCCTTTTCCCAAGATATTACGCTGTTCCTACCTGCGTCACATTTCCTGCTCACGTGACTTTTTTCTATCCAAAATTTTCAATACAGTAGGAACCAGCTATCGGTTTTTACCATCTAAATATGGTGTCTCTACATCTGAATTCTTTTATTTCTTTTGCCAGGAATATATTATTCGAGACATAATTTTGTTTTTTATTTTTGACTGTTTAATATGTCCCAAAGGCATTTTCTATTAATTTAATCAAATAAAGGTTTGATCATATGTTTTCGGGTTATTTTGATTTTCTAGATTTATTTGTGGCAAATAATTAAACGCAGAACTTGCTTCAGAAGAAACTTGACATTTTCCGAAAGAGTTTATCTTTCCATATGACGCAATCAAATTCATACATGAGAACTAGAAGAATGTATCATTCATAAATTTTGAGTTTGTTGTAATAATTATTTCGATTTTTGGTATTGTTTTTGTTTTTCCGAAAGATGCCTATTCTGTAATTTAATACAATTACAATAACAGTGTATGTTTTTTGGAAGCTAAAATCTTGTGTCCCTCAGATACAGATTCAATAAAGTGTTTAATGGATTTATTGTAAATTTAAAGGTGCTTGTCTGCAGTAACATGTTCAGTTTTCATGAAGGTTCTTTTTAGTCCTATTTCCTTTACATTGGAAGTTATTTTTTGACAAAATTTTAATGGCTATTAGTGTCATCCTTAGTGTGGGCAAGGATATGGAAATATGCTAAATTTGAAATAGTTTGGTTTCAATTGCAAAACAACGGTCGCATTTCTTGAATGACATACAGATATGGCGGCGCAGAATAAAATTTTTGAAAAAACGTCCCCTTCGTTTTATGACATCTGTATTTCGGTATAAAAATGAGTTACTCACGGTCCTTTTTTTGCTACAGCTTGAACATCAGGCTATAAGAATTTCATTAAATATATATTAATTGATTAACAGAAATAGAAACAATCCTTCCACAAAAGAGAAATGCACTCAGCCAACAACATTATGAACTTTTCTGACCAAGAGCTGAACGAAAATCAAAGTTCCTTCACTTTGGAATCTAAATATCAGATCACCACAAAATACAAACCAGTTTTGCAAAAAAATGGTACTTGGACTCCAACATCAAAACCTTTAAATTAAAGCCTTCAAATTATTGATCAAATGCAAGTAATTATTGAATCTAGTAAAAGTCAAAGGCATAAAAAGCTGACAAGTACCACGGAGAAAACTCATCCATGACAAAGACATTAAAAACGAAAACATTACCCTTAAACCTGCTGACGAAATTTCTATATACGTCCTGTTATAAAGGATTCAAAACTTACATTCATCTTAAAAGGATAAATTAACGTTTTCAAAATTACACATGTTGACACTTTAAAATTGTTAAGTGATGCACAGCTGCCGCGTTGGCCTTTGGAGACAGCAAAAAACAAGTGCCATACCACATCTCTTTCACACAGGGTCAATAATACTACCAACATTGAGGTGATCAAACATCCGGATCGGGAAGAGTGCTCGTATATATCCCAGTTGTTCTCTGTTCCTTCACATATAACCCAAGTGTCTCAGGGTGAAAATTCTCACGATCATGTCATCCTGTCAACATGTAGCCTCCGAAGCGTGTTGATATAAACACACCCGGTTCATTACTACTGGACTGCCAACAGAGGAAGATCGAACATTGACCCCATAATGCACCAAGAACTCTCAAATAGTCCCTACTGTATTATGGGGTCATGTTATGACCAACATAAATTCAAACGACCCGATCTGTGCTTTATGATCATTGATGACATGGAAGCTAGTTTAGTGTCTAGCCACCCTCCTCATATATAAAGTTTTATTTAAAGAGTTTAATTTGTGTTTGTCGTTAGGCGACATGTACTGATACACACCTGGTCAAAAACTTAAGACCAAATACAAAAGAGGTTAAAAATTATAAAATATTGTTACTTTAATCAAAATATATTTGCGAAACATTTATATTTAATTAAAAAATGTAGTTTATCAACAAACAAGTGAAAATTTTAAGCTTTTAATTGATTAATTTAAACAAACATTGAAAAAAGGATTTTTTGGTTGGTCATAAGACCATGTGTGAAAAAAAAAATGACTAGACAAAAATTTTAGAACTAGTCAGTGTGCTCATAGGCGTGTAGACATCTGTGTAGCTCATTTCCAGTATTAAATTTCAGATTTTAAAATGGCTAAGTGTAAAATTTTAACAAAGGTCGAACAGGGCAAGATTGTTGAACTTTAAAGATGTGGTCTTTCGCAACAAGCCATTGCAAATGGAATTGGCCGTAGCAGAACTGTCATTGCTAACTTTATTAAAAATCCGGATGCGTATGCTTCTAAAAAAATCAAGCGATAAAAATAAATAAAATAAATCTCACTATCTCCAGACAGTCGCATTAGGCGAAATCAGATAAAAGCGAATAAAAATGCTGAATGCATTCGACGGCATTTAAATAAGAAAAGGGTTTAAGAACTTGAAACGGCTGCAGAGGCCTCACCGTCTTCTTCGCCATAAAACATCCCGTTTACAATTTGCTTCCGATAATCAAACTTGGAATGCGGATGAATGGAAGAATGTGTTGTTTTCAGACGAGAAAAAATTGAATTTTGATGGCCCAGACGGTTTTCAGCGTTACAGGTATGCAAAAGATGTCCTAAAGAAATTTTCTCAACACAACACAGTGGATGTGGATCAATTATGGTCGGTGGTTCATTTTCGTACAATGGAACTCTTGAGTTACAGGAGGTAAAAGGTCGTCAAAGCTGCTAGTTACATTGACATGTTAAGAAAGGCATCGCTAATTATTGAAGGCCTTCATCTATGTGGAAAAAACTGGATTTTCCAGCAGGACAATGCTGCAATATACAACGCTCTCCAGATCGAAACCCAATCGAAAATGTTTGAGGATGGATAGCAAAGGATGTTTATAAACATGGATCGCAATTTGAAACTGTGCTCTTCGTGCTGCAGTTTATGCATCCTGGGCGAGCATCCCAAGCACCCTCACGCAGAAGTTAATAATGAGTTTGCCAAAGCGAATTTTCGGAGCAAATTGCAAAAATGGAGCATATACTAAGAATTACATTGTCGTTGTGACTTATTTGTTCTGTATTAGCTATTTTTATTTACATGGTCTTATATTTATGACCAACCAGAAAATCCTTTTTTCAGTGTTTGTTTAAATTGATCAATTAAAAGTTTAAACTTTTCACTTGTATGTTGACAAACTACATTTTCTAATTAAATGTAAATGTTTCGCAAATATATTTTTGATTAAAGTAACAGTATTTTATATTTTGTTAACCCTTTTGTATCTGGTCTTAAGATTTTGATCAGGGGTGTATACCGGTCCATAATTAGGTATACTTGTCTGTTCACATCTAAATGATCATCTATGTATCCCTGTCCATGGATCTATCTTATTTATTTAAAATATACATATAAATTCATCATACAGAAACCATAGTTAATTAAATATTATTAACTGAATGCACGTATAGTAGAAAAACAATGCATATAAGTGATCAGCTCACACTCACACACTCTCTCTCTCTCTCTCTCTCTCTCACACACACACACACACACACACACACACACATATATATATATATATATATATATATATATATATATATATATATATATATATATAAACATTAAATTCAATACCTAGATGCGACAGTCTTTGTCATGCGAAATGCAATCACCAGTTCTGACAACTGCGTCTAACTTGAAACAGACTTTCACCTCTGGGTGTTGACTCCAATGTCCACTTTTATATTTTATATTTACATACGCTCTATCCTGATATTGAACACTTTAACCCACAAACATATCATACCTTAAAAACTATATTTTTCATATATATATATATATATATATATATATATATATATATATATATATATATATAAAAACGATTGTGTGAATATCGATATAATTTATTGAAAAAATTGTATATGAAAATACATTTTCACCCGACTCTTGCATGGTCTTTTCTTGCAGATTCGCTTCGAATCGAACATCTCAATCAGATTTTCTCCGATAAACACGCGTTCCAAACATTTCCAATATTTTTCCTTTTTTTTCCAATTTCCAAAGATTTTTCTTTCGATTTTCTTTTTATTTATTTGTTCGTTCATTGAAATTGTGGAACAAGACACGTCGCGCTCTTGATGCGTACAAATGAACGAACAGAAAATCTTTTGGTCGCCAGGAGAAGGCTTATTGCTTTTCCTAATCGATGATCGATATATCTGACTCCGATACATAATCACGTGTTTGGGGATCTGCGCTCGTAACATGATGACGTGGTTAGGGTTTGGGGGTGGGGTGTTCATTTCTGAAAATGAAAGGAAGAGAAATAAATTGGACGAAAGTGAAAAAGATTCAGAAATGATGATGATGACGAAGGAAGAAGAATATTGGAAAGTAAAAAGAAGAAAATAAAGAGAAAGAAGTTGAGAGAAGTGAGAGAAAGGAAAGAAAAAAAGAGAAAGTCACACAAGTGACGAAAAGAGAAAAAGTGTAAAGGTTAAAAAGGAAGATCAATGGGTACATTTTTAAAAAAGAAAGAAATAAAAACTATAAAAATATAAGGAGGAAATAGAAAAAGAGAAAACGGATGAGGAGAAAGAAGAGGAAAAATCAGAAAATATTTTCGAAAATAAAAAGTGATGAGAATTTATAAGATATAAAGACATTTAAAGTAAAAGAAAGAAAGATGTAATAATGAACAGAATTAAATAAAAGAAAAAAATGAAAGGGAGACGAATAGAAGCAAAGAATCGAAAAACAAACAAAAATCGAAAAAATGAAAATAACAGCAAAAAAGAAAGGAAATAATGCACGAAAAATGAAAACAAAAAAATTAAAATTGAAAATTTAAATAATCGGAACAAAAGCTGAATTAATAACATCCAAGTAAGAAAAATAGGAAGAAAAAAGTGAAGAAAAAAGACAAGGAAACAAGAGAAGAGCAAAGAAAGAGAAAGAGACTGGGATAAAGAAGCGGGAAAGAGGAAAATGAAGAATTAGATGAAAATTAGAAAAGAGATATAATAAAAGAAAAGAGAGAAAGAAGAAAGACATAGAAGAGAGGGAAAAAGAGTAGAGTCGAGAATGAAAGAAAAAAAGAAAGAAAGAAAGATATGGAAGGAAGGAAGGAAGTTGATGTAAATAAAAAGATGAAGTAGAGAGTAATGAAAAAGTGACGGAAAACCTAGAGATAAGAAAGAAACGGGAAATGGGGAATATGGAGGAAAGAAAGAAAGAAAGAAAGAAAGAAAGAAAAAAGAAAGAAAGAAAGAATGCAGAAAAGTGATGTAAATAAAAAGTTGAGAAAGAAAGAAGGAATATATGAGAAAGAGAGAAAAAGTGTGACGAAAAGAGGTGGTGAGAAGACAGTAACACAGCAAAGAGAGAAGAAAACATCAACAAAGAAGAAGGAAATGAAACAAACAGATGAAGGAAGAGAAGTAATGCCTGCCAAAAAATAAAAGCAAATATGGAACGCTTGAGAAAGGAAGAAAAAATGAAAAACCTGGTTATGATAATAATGGCGGTAGTGATGACCGGTCCTGATCAGTAGATATTATTTGTTTTTTAATGGTAATGTATTTAGTTTGTGTATTTATTGACTGGAATTCGGAAGAAAGAATTCGTAGTCGAAACAGTGAAATTGACTATTCCTAAAAAAAAGATTTAACTTTCCAAATCTTATCGAAGTAGTCTTTTAATAAAATTATTCTTTTGAAATTCTTTCAAACAGGATTATTCTTTTGGATAGCGATTATTACTTGCGTCTGATTTTTACTTTTCTTTAGGTACTTCCAATAATTCACTAAAAATCATTATAGCATAATGAGAAAAGGCCCCAAACCTCATAAAAACAAAGTTTTATCGTTAAAATGCTTATGTTATTATTAAGAAGAAAGAGCAAAGTATTTTTTAATTATTTTTAACAAATTTTTCCTTCTTTCTAACACGTTCTAAATTTGGGTCAAAATTCGCGAGTTTTTTTTTTTTTATCAACTTGTAGTAATGGCCATTTTAGTGTAGCAGTTTCCGGGAGAAAATCCAGTAATTTTGAAATTCTTGCAAAAATCAAATAATTGTCTGATTTTAATGAAACTTTCAGGACTTTTGATGAATTTACTCTTGAAATTGTTAGTTTTAGAAAATCTTGGTAAATAATTTTCTTACATCTGTTATCCCCCACCCCCATAACTTAATTTTATGAAATTTTCTTGAATTTTAAACAGTTCGCAAATTGTTTTATATTACTTATAAACAGGACTCCTAGGGGAAAGTAAATTATAATTTTTTTTCACAACTACTGCCAACTTTTAAAAAATCTGCTCCAAATCGTAAAATAAAAGCCGCAATAAAACTATTGTATCGGACCAGGGTTTATGTTTTGTTAAATTAGGAACAGGTGTGTTTATTCCTAAGGAGGTCCATCTACAAGAACATGGCGAGATTGAATCCACCATAAAGAAGTGTAAAGAAAACCAACAAGAACGATATATCTATCTATCTATCTATCTATCTATCTATATATATATATATATATATATATATATATATATATATATATATATATATATATATATTAAATACTTATCATCTGGGGTATTTTCATTTTAAATTGATAATTTAATTTAAATATATCAATCTTTAACTATCAACATTGATAGTAAAATATTAAATTAGAAATATTTGTTTAGATATTTAAACACTGAAGTCAAACCTAACGTTAAACATTAACTGTGAAATTAAAGAAAAAATTTAAATAAGTTTAAATATAAATATATGTAATTATTTGTAAATGTATGTGTATGTATTTATGTATGAATATGTATAGGTACCTGTGTATATCGATACATGTGTGTGCCTATGTGTGTAATTGTACATGTAAATGAACGTATGTATATGTAGGATTTGCGTAAGTATATATGTGGTACATATATGAAAAAAACAAAATCGTTAATATTACCTTCAAATGTTACTCCATCTTAATTCGAAACCTAAACATTAAGTAAGAATGATTACCCATTTAAAAATAATTACAAATTACATTCATGAATTAGATTTAAACTGATAAAGATGTTACCGTAACTGTCTTTTACAATATTAAAATAGTACTATTGGTCGGGTAAACAATGTTATAGTTTAAAACTTTTTTTTTATAAGTTCTCTATGAATGTGTTAATAAATACAGTATTTATCTTATATTAAATCCTAAATCCCTAAATTTTTTGTAGAAAAGTTAAATATTTAAATTGCTAGCAAGCGTCAAATTAATTTCTTCGGGTTTTATTTTAGACGTCTAAATTAGTATCAAACATTAAAATCTATTTTTTACATGAATTGCTAAAACTTACCACCCATCTCCTCCATATGAAAAACCCATTTACAGCCTCTTTCTCTTTACTTCCCCCTTCTTTCTTTTTCCTTTTTCTTTTCTCTCTTCTCCCCTCCCATTTCAATATATCGTTTAAATAGGTCAAGGTCTGGTCACTCCTCCTCCCCCAATACTAACTATGATTGAGAGAGATATTAAATTAAACCCTCCCTAAACTCTACCATGTCTCTCTAACCACTCCTTATTACACTCTCTGTTAAATTACAAAAACTTACACTACCCGTCAGTTTTCATTTCAGTTTTCGTTTCATGTTTTGGAAGTGCTATCTGATGATCCGGCGTCCTTTAAATGGGCTCTGGTGAAATAAATTATTATAATGGAACCTTAAAGTGGTCTGTTTTTCTTTAATATATATATATATATATATATATATATATATATATATATACAAAACAAGTATATGTATTAAACAATAAAATTTACAATGGACATAGGCATTAACATTTATGTTTGTGTGTGAACGTAAAGAGTTTGTATTTTGATGAATGTTCGTACGTACGTGTATGTGTGTTTCATGGCGTTTTCCCACAAGTGGGCAAAACGCAGATCTCCGCGAGAGATCACAATTTGTAAATGTGTCCGCTGAAATGCAAAGTAAAAAGAGAACGAGGCAAGAAATCGCCCAGTATTTTTAGTGTAGAGAGAGTGTACTCTAGAGTACAATTAGAAGATTAAGGAGGTGTTAATTCCGACACTATCTCGTGATCTAATTAGGTAGGATTTTATTTGCTTTTATAAATAATATACATTAAGGACATTATTATCTGAAGAAAATTTTTTTTTCGATGAATAAAAAATTGTTACAAGAATTGTTTTCATTCTTCTTTTAGTTTTTCATTTTTCTTTTAATTTAAAAATATGCTTTAAATTTCTTCCAAATAGAGTACGAAGTATATTATTAAGCTTTTGAGTGAAGACTATATTTACTAAGGGAAAACTAAAAGCTTAATACAAATCATGCTAGCAATACTTTTTACCATAATTAAAGATATTTTTCGTGCGTTAAAATGTTAGATTTTTTCGTAGTATGGTGTTTCGCAAGTGATATTATGGTTAAATGGTCACGTTTTTCAAGATTTGTCTCCCCCTTAGGGAACTGAGATAATATAATAATTTTATTAATTATAATTTAATACTTGAGAGTGAGATGGTTATTAAAATATCATCTCACTCTCATTGTTAAAGTGATAACAGATAATAATATTTTAAAATATAACTCATTTATTTAATTAAAAAGTGAATTATTGAGATAATATTAATAAAATTATTATATTTTAGTTATCAATGTAAAAATGTAATAACTGAGAGTGAGATAATTTAATTATTAATATAATAATTAATAATTTTATTAATTATTATATCTCGGTTATTAAATTAAAATGTAATAACTGATAATATAAAAATTAAGAAAATTATTTATCATATTACCTACCATTATAGAGGTAACTCAATAATTTAAGAAATTTTTATAGTATGTATTTATTATAAGAAAGGATCTTTAAAATTACATAAAAAAACTCAGTAAAATATAATTGCTTTTTTTGATAATTGCTTAAAATAATTTTAATTTTAAACATAACCGGGTAGTTAAAAAACAAAAACAAACCGTTCTGACTTAGAATTCGAAAATTTGTATCAATTCCGGTCCACCATATTAAACCTGTGAGCACATTCGCCCATCAAATTATCGATGGAGACTTGAGACAAGCAAGACTCCGTTGTGAAGAAATGCTTGTTTACAAAATTTTATGGGGTAAGTAATGTTTGCTTCAAAACTGATTAATCTAACTTTAAATTTGATAATTTTACGAAAGTAACATTTCAGAAATATACATGCTATTTTAGGCGGGTTTTTAAAATACAAAATAATTTTTCTTTATATTTTTCTAAAGAGAATGAAAATGGCCGTTTCGGCTCATTTTTCAGAAGAATCTACTAAAAATCGTTATAATTTCTATTTGAAATACAACACAGCATGTTCTTTTCTGGAATTAGAAAATTTAATTCTTTAGCTTTCAATTGAAACTAGGGGAAAGCTTCAAAAATTAGTTTTCATTTATGTTTACCGATATTTGGAGGTACCTACTTTTGTTTTTTTCTTGTCAGAATGTTGAGACGATCTCTTCCTTGTCTCTTTGTTACCTGAAAGAGATTTGAAATAAGAAAGTTTAAAATAAATTTAAAAAAATAATTAAATGAATATTCGCATAAAAAAATCTATATTCACATTTAAACGCGTACACACACACACATAAAACATTTTGGAAAGTGCCTGACCCAAGCCTTGTGAGTGGATAGACACAACACTTGAGGGACCATCGATACCTGTGCTAGCACGAAGTCACAAGTCATCGTGACCGAGAGTTTGAGTGTGTTGGCCTTGTTTAGATTTGTTGGTCATGCTAGATAACACGCTCTTTCCCAGGAACTGTAACTAAGATCTGCTCAGCATAGTTGCAGTATAAATCACGGGTGGGCTCTGTGGGTGTTGGACAAATACAAATGTGGATGAGCGATTTTCAGAGTTAGAGATTGGCTAGCCGCCCTAGTAGAGGGGCATCCTAGAATGCGAGTCGACAACTATTACTATATATATATATATATATATATATAAAGTGATTTGTACCCACAGAAATGAACATAGATTTAAACAACACGTACGTCATACCTTAGGTACCTTTCAGCCAAAACGTTTTCAAAGCTATTCGCTGGCGATTGGTAATACAAATGAAGACACACTCAATAAAGTAAATTATGAGAGAAAGATGGAACGGGATTAAAAGAGAAATTTTAATTACACAAGAGTAATGGTAAAAAATGACACTCACAAACCCTCCAACAAACGCAAGGAACATAAAAAATGTTCCTTTTGTTTGCACAGGCTAGGCTGATGTAACTTTATAAATCTTCCAAGACTCGGAGATGGTATACTGAGCGAGCACTGTGTAATGCTGAAAACCAAGTGTCTTCATAATCCGACGCACAAGCATGGTTGTCAGCAAATACTGACCAATGGCAGATTCATGGACTGCCTGAGTACTACTATCTTATAGACAACCAGAACGCAAACCCGTGTCTCCAACCTCAGATTATCATCATAACGGCATTTGAACTTGAAAACAACTAAATTTTTGTGAAAGTAGGACAATCTATCTTTAGTAAAGGACGGAAACACAGGGTCTAGTTTAGAAAAAATATGCGCAACTTAACTGCATTATCACAAGAAGAAATAGACGCTGAAATTCTGTCAGATAATAATTGACATTTCCTACCAAGCCAAGGTAATTTTAAATAGATAGGGCAACGGCTAGGTTCAAACACCACAGGTTCCTTAAACCGCTTGATTTTGCTTTCAGTAACACGCCTGTTAACATTGATGGGATATTCATTACTTTCGAAAATATTCCGAATTGTAGTAAGTACACCACCTAACAGTTCAGTGGAACAAATCATGATAGCACGATGAACCAAAGTCGCAATCAGACCAATCTTACGGGACTTCCAGCTAGAGTTATAGTCCAGTTAATGTGGGCTTACGAAAAATACTGGTAGCGAAAACCCAGCCCCTACGTTTAATATCCAAAAAGAAAAGTGCCCTATCTTTCTCAACCTCCATTGTAAACTTAAGGGAAGGATGGAGAGAATTTAGATGAGCCAGAAAATTTGTTGCATCTATGGCGGAATCAAAGATAGAAAAAGTGTCGTCCACATATCTCATATAGACACAAGGTTTTTGGACATTGTCAAACAGAATTCTCTCGTAATAGCCCACGAAAATATTGGCTACAACCGGACCCAAAGGGCGACCCATAGCAACCCCATCTCTCTGAACGTACATCATCTCATTGAAGCTAATCTCTACACCCTCTGTAGCCAGACGTATACTTTCCATGAATAGTTCCACAGGAATACTGGCAGGGCACAAATTACCCCTATATAGGATATCGGAACAAAGGCCAATGGTCTCATGTAGTGGGACGTTAGTGAATAAACTGACAATATCAAACGACACCATCAATTTATCCTCAGACCGAATATCCAACCCTTTAATGAAGTTAGAAATAAGGAAAGAGTCTTAAATATTACAACCTGAAAAAATATTCGAGACCGGCTGGAGCAATTCAACCAACCGTTTAGCCAACTCATGTTGCACGGATCCCACCATAGACAAGATTGGTCTAAGTGGGACTCCATCTTTGTGCACTTTGGGAAGTCCATACATTCGTGCACATTGCGAACCTGCTATATATATATATATATATATATATATATATATATATATATATAAGAAAAAAAGATGTATGACAAATTGTAAAAAGTTTTGTTTTTTTTTTGTGTCGGCTTTCATTCGTTAGGACATCGTCGGACTGGATTTTTTGATGTTGTTGTGAACACACATGCGACCGAACCGGAGACGCTGGGAATTTTAAAATTTAGAAATAATTTTTTAACCGTAATGAAACTGATCCCAATTTTAACATAAAAACTGTTACTCTAATTAAAAAAAAAAGATAATAATTCACTAAGACGAAATATCTAGAAGGCGGTTTAATCGATTTTCAGCCACAGTAAATTTACAGCCATGTTCTTTCGTTTCACTATTCTTGGCAGTTTTTTCTCTTATCACAGTGTTGAATATTTAATAACAGAGATGATGGAAAGAAAAAGAAAAAGAATGTACAGACAGACAGACATTTTAGGTTACTCAAATAGACAGGTGAGAGAGAGAGTGATAGAGACAGACAAAAAGGCAATATATATATATATATATATGTGTGTGTGTGTTGCCTTTTTGACCAGAGGACATGACTTTAACAGATGTCATCATTCGTTGGAAAAGGCACCCCTACCCTACCTTGACTTAAGCTTTTTCGAAAGTAACTCATATTTTGATACAATAATTGTCAGTGAAAATAATACCCTACCGCCCCTTGTAAAATGATTGGATTTCCCCATATCCATAGAAACAAATATTATGAATGTATGTGCTTATAAAACTCAGTAAATTTCAAAATAAATTATTCCAAAATTCGATTAAAAATGAAACGGAACTAGGGACTATAATTTTATTTAATTCTACAATTGAATTTGAAATTTTTAGCTCATGTTTTTGAAATATGGTAATTCCTGTGTAGCGATGGAACTATATTTTTAAATAGGGATGCTCGAAAATGCATGAGATAGAGTGACATAACCATTTTCGGATACTCGAAGAGGTATGAGAGAGAGAGATAGACTTTTAGTATACACGAAGGGACATGCAATATACAGATAGACATTTAGGACACTCGAAAATGTATGAGAGAGGTTTTAGGATACTCGAAAAGGCAAGAGAGAGCGATAAATAGTTTAGGATGTTCAGTGAGACATGAGAGTGAGAGAGAGAGAGAGAGAGAGAGAGAGAGAGAGAGATTATAGGACACTCGAAAAGGCATGAGAGAGAAATAGTTTGATCCTGTGAAAAGAAGAGAAAAAATGTAAGTATGAGTGAGAAAAGTGAGAATGAGAGTAACAAGAAATATTGATCAAAACAGTAAAGGGGGGGGGGAGAAAGAGAGAGAGCGAAGAAGTGAAAGTGTAAATATAAGGCTTAGAAAGAAAGAGTGAGTATAAATACTGATTGAAACTGTGAAAGTGATAGAGAGGAAGAAAGAGAGAGAACGGGGAAATCGATAAGTGTGACAATAAGACATACGAAGAAAGAGTGAGTTTAAATATTGATACTGATTTAAAAAGGAAGGTGAAAAGTATAGCTTAAAAAGAAGGCAATAAAAAGAAAGGAAGCAAGCACAAAAGAAGGCAAAGAAAAAAAAAGAAAAAAGAAAAAATGAATAAAAAGGGATTTAAACAGAAAAATTAGAAAATTAAAGAAATGTCTAAACAAAAATATAAAAAAAAATGGATCAAGAAACTTGACGCATGACAAAAAAAAGAAAAAGCGTAAAAAAAAAAAAGAAATAATTTCACATCAAAACAATAAACCAAATAAAAGCGGAACACAGTGATTTCGTCGCTCTATTTTCACAGGACTGTTTAAATGATGACAGTATCATCCAGTGCGCATGTCCAAATGGCTAAGGCGCCATTTTGTTGTTACCAGCAACTTGGAAAGCTCTTCTCATCAAATGGTCGAAGTGTCGGGAAATAGACATGGCGTCAACTTTGTTTGTGTCTGCCGCTAAATGTGTTGGAGGGGTTGAGGGATCTTAGATGAAGATGGTCTCTCCTCGAGACGTAAGTGATGAAACTTGGAACACTGAATCGTACTCATTGTTTCAAGAGGTTGCCGCGCGCGCCAACAAACGGTGAATTTAGTGTCACCTTGGAGACTACTGATTTTACTCAGGCGACGACATAATGGCTTGTGCTTTTTCGCATATATATATATATATATATATATATATATGTGTGTGTGTGTGTGTGTGTGTGTGTGTGTGTGTGTGTGTGCGTGTGTGTGTGTGTGCTTGTGAAGCAAATATTCGTACACATAAAAGTTTTAATTTATTGTATTTCCAACTAATGAATAATCATACTTTTCATATGATTAACTGTACGCAGATGCATAATAACTAAATACGCATAGAAAACAGAAAAAAACTGATTTAATAGAAATAAATCGCATTTATCCATTTCAATGGGTGAAATAAATATTCGTACAATACAAAAAGAATACATGATCTTCATTTAATAGTATAATAATAGCCATGATATATTTCCTGTCGACCTCAACGATTTACAAATTTTATTTGGTATTTTGTTTCATTCTTCTTCGCCTGTGATTTTCACTTCTTTCTTATAGTTCTTTCTTCTCACTTTTTTTTACTTACTTGTCTAGAAGTAACTGCATTTTCATTTCTGTCTGCCATCAATATGGAGACTAAATATTTTATGGTGTTAGAGTTGAGCTCAGCAATAATAAATCCTGGTAGATTTTCCTGTTCTCCTAAGATTGCCTGATTATCAAGGTTAAACAAATCCGGTAAAAAGGCGCATCCTTGTCTTATGCCACTTTCTGTTCTTGTCTGCTTGCTCAAATTATCTTATTTATACAAGAAACGCTTAAGAATACGATTGATTATTTAATGGCGACTTCAATACCCTGTTTTCCAATAACCTGGTCGTGACAATGTTAAAAAGTAAATTAATGTAATTGATTTTCATCAGGACAATCAGCTTTATGCAATACAACTCCATAACACCATCGGGACAAAATCTCCCAAGAAAAATAATATAAGAATTTTTAAATTGTTACATTCATTAAACCATTCGACTCGATAGTTGTACAAATATTATTCAGCTTTCTTTTTTTTCATGCAATCAGGCAACTTAGTTTTAGATCGATCAAAATTATTTTCCCTATGTACTACTGCTATATATACAGTACATATTGTGGCCCCCACGACCCTAATGTGTTATAGGAATCATGACAGTGATGTTTTCAGTAGTGAGATAAAATAGCACAAAATTATAACAGGATTAAATTAACAATTGTTCTTTGTTTTTTTTATAAAGATTAAATGAATTCAGATTTAAATATGAAGTCATATTACGATATGAAGAGAATGTTTGTCTTCGCCATAATCAAAGTGAAATCTTTCTTTCACATTCATACTTATCACTTGTCTTTTTGTTTATATTTCTCTTTGATTTTTACTTTTCTTTCAACACCCAACGCGATGAATATGTCCATCTCTATATTTCTACCAATTAGATTAAACAAGGGAGAAAAAGTAATCGGCATCACTTTCAGGGGCGACTTTCCATGTTTTATTTCAATAAACAATGATTCTCCTCTTTTTTTCAACTTTCAAAAAATAATTAAAATTAATTTGAATAAAACAAGATGTAAAAAATATGATCCTTAGAAATAAAGATGTCTAAATACCCTCATATTTTTTCGAATGACAAACAAAATTAAAAAATCTAAAAATGTGTGGATTAAATGATAAACTTCCGTTGCGAAAATAGTTTTAAAATTCCAATTTTCAAAATAAGGGAATGTACTGGTTGAACCAAAGATTGGTCTGTGTGTTTGTTTCAAATATAATGGTACAACCTTTTATTTTGTTCATCTCTAATAAAATATGCCTTTTTTTAATTCATTTTTGTTTTACATATTCTGAATCTTATTGCTTAAGAGGGATTTGTATTTCACAATTAATTTCTGCCTGATTTAGGTAAAGTAAACTTTGTACATTCAATATTTTACCTTTAAAAGATCTTTTGTAGTTTTATTGTGCCTCAATGTTATTATTTTTATTTTTAATACGGTTTTATTCTTTTTGACATTCATTCAAAATGTATTCAGTTTATTTTGATTTCGGAGAAACAGATAATTTAAAGTAGAAAGATTTCGATTTTCAACAACGACGTTGATATCATTGCAGTTTTAAAAATGCAATTTAAAAATAAAATAAAAAAATGCGTTCTTTTTTGCTTCAACTTTATGTCATATTATTTCGTAGGGGTGCTGAAAATTTCTTCGCTTTACCCAATATCCATCAGAAGTAATTTTTTTTTTTTTCGTATTGTGGCACCATTTACCGAGGCAGAAAAAGAAAAGAAGGAAAAAAAAGAGGCGAGACCCAAAACGTGGATGATAAGCAGAACACCACGGCTAAGAGACAATGGTTAAAGGATATTTTGATAAGTAACAAATGGCGAAAGAGTGTCATTACAATGACAGGGAAATTCTGAGTGGATAAAGGAATCGGGTGTGTTTTGGCGACGGCTGTGTTATCTGGGATGCGTAAACAAACTGCTGGCCAAGGAAAAATCCAAATGAAAATGTTATTTCGATAAGTGACGGAAAACAGGTAGACAAAAGGGCTATGGATAGATATGAAAAATTTGTGTCAAAAGCCGCACACGATGTGTCCACTGACCGATTTCTTTCGACGGAACATCTTTAGCCTGCGATAATAAAATTATGTTATCAGAAATATGTACCGAAAGGAAACATGGGAACTTAGAAATGTTCTTTTCGGGGCGACGTCTGGACGTGTTAGAAAGACCACCCATTCTGATAATTAGCGATAAGATGAATGACTAAGCCCAGGTGTAGAACAGGAGTATGACCACCGTCGTTCATATTATCCTGTTTGCGGCTAGAGAAAATGATAACTGCGATTAAGAGGAAGAAAAGAAAAAGAAAAGATAATTTTTTTTTTTTTAGTTAAGCAAGAAATTTTTTTTCCTGAAACAAAGCCGCGGATTCGTCCACGCCCGACTAAGACACCATTGGTCGGGTGATGATCACGTGACGCACGAAGGAGGCTGTCGCCGCCCATCCAGAGGATAGGTATGAGAAGCTGCTACGAAGAAGTGGGGAGGGAAGCTCACGCTCCTCTGAAGTATGGTGAGAAGGTGGGAGTAAGAAAAGGCTCCCAAAAATGGAAAAGAGTGGAAAATTCCTAACCAGAAATAAAAGAGGTGGATATGTATTTAGAATTATCGAGGGACCCCCGACGCCGACAAACCCACCCCGGTTTTGGTCGGCGTCCATATAAACGAAGCCGCAGCAAGCAGAAATCAGTTGAGTTCAGTTCAGCAGAGTGGAGTTGCAGTTTCAGTTCAAGTTGAGTTGGTTCCGCCTCGCAGATAGCAGACTTGAAAGATTCAAGTACATTTCGGACAACTCTTCAATCCAAGAACAATTATTTTGAAGAGCGACTTAGATCCAGACCACCAAAATAAGTTTTATTCGACTTTCGTCCGAAGACACACCGAAAAACCAATTTCTTAAAGAGTAAACAACTTTAAGCGTTAAAACTCGCCTAACGGAAAACAACGTGTCACAATCCATAGAACGGGTCAGGAGATAGACGCAGTCCTATGTATCGAACAACTACACATAAAGTTTGTTATCTTTTTCTTTGATACCTTGAACTTTTGAGTTTTCATTTTATTTTCTTTTATGCATATTTGTGTGGTGTCACCCCCGTTGAACCCGATTTGCATTACGGCCCTGACTACTGATTGATCTCGTCTGCCTAAGATCAATTCACAACGTGGGTAGGCAGACTGGAGATCAATGCAGTTACTTTGGTAACCCGGCGTTGGAAGCGAGTTGGGAACGACGAGGCTGATATCAAATCTAACCAGATTCCCACCCGAATCACCAAAAGGTTAGAACGTCACATTTGGGTACCGCGACCGATACCATGGCCAATTGGTCGTCACATGACGAGACAACACGACTGACGCGACAGGCGGACGTCGCGTTTGGAGCGGCGACACCCGAACGGAGCAGCGAGGAGCGAACAGCTGGCGCCGCGGCGAAGACGTCACAGTTGGTGCCGTGGTAGACCAGGATAGGACGTCACAGTTGGCGCTGCGACCAGGGGACGACGTCACAACTGGTGCCGTGACCAGGATAGGACCCTGGAACAGCCACTGCCATATTTAGTACCGTGACAGCAGGACAGGATCCTGGATCGACCGCTGTTGCTGAGAAATTTCGAATAGGCCTCAAAACGACCCGGGACCTGAGAGGAACGAGAGGAGAATCGTCTGTAAGGTAGGATACTTTGTTTGATTTCCCAACCTCGATTGTTGCTGCGTAGATTGTCTTTCTCTTTAAATATGTCGGACTATGATTCAGATAGAGTAGTGGGGGATGAAGAGGGGGTTAGACAGGGGTTGTCAGCTGACCTAAGAAGGTTGTTGGGTGGACCGAGGGTCCCAGAATTTGACGGCAGTGGGAGAGATTTCAAAAACTGGCTGGCAATCCTGGAGAAGAGCTGAGTTATATATGAACTCACAGACCAGCAGACCCTGTATCTGGCATATGATGCCACGAAGGGGAAAGCGTCTGAATTTATGAAGGGGCTCTTGGAGAGTGAGCCCCACTTGTCTTGGGAAAGATTAAGGGACTATTGACCAAGTAGTTCGTCGACGAGGGCACGGCTATAGAGGCCATGAGGGCCCTCCTAAAGCTGACACAGCTGCGGGACGAAACCCCTAGAGAATTGGGGGCCCGAGCGGGGAAGCTGTCATCATTGGCCTTCCCAGAAGTGGTGAGAGACAATGCGGTCATGCAGGCCCAGTTAGCAGACCTGTATGTGGAGGCCCTAAGTGACGAGCGTGTTCGTCACGACGTGCTGAAGGAGGGACCGCTGAGACTATCGGCAGCAGTAGAGCTGGCCAAGGA